CGGGCTTCACATGTGTTTTTTTTTGCATGTTCCCCGACCCCCCCCCCTCCCCCGCACTGGAAATGGAGGGCAGATCGGGGCCTCCGGCTTGGGTTGGGGTTCATCGGTGGGCGGCGCGTACAGAAACATCGGGGGCGTCCAAGAGGGGAGCGTCCAAGAGGGGGGGCGTCCAAGAGGGGGGGGCGCAAATCATAGCCCGAGGCACATGCGCGGCCCAGGGGCGGGGCCAGGGACGCATTGAAATAAGAAGAGGCGCCATGAAATCTGAGGAAATACCATGGCCCCGCCACTAAGATCCACCCCCCCTAAGTCATCACCCCCCTCTTGGCCGCCCCCGAGACCAGGGGCACGACGCCGCACAGCAGCTGCTGCTCTGAGGCGACAGCGGCCGCCGCTGGGCAGGCGGCCCTCTGCCTCGAGCGGGCGCCGCCCGCCGCAGCACCGCCCGCGGGCCCTGCTCTACACAGGGCCAGGCCTGCTGTCAAGTCTTGGCCTCTTCCGCACCTCCGTCGTCTTCCGCCTCGGCTGCCGCCTCCACACGCCGCACGGCCACCGCATCGCCTTCCCAACGTTCCGACCGCGTGCGGGTTGGTCTCTTCCGCCGCTGTCGGAGTCCGGGCGGGCTGGCCCAGGCTGCCCAGGCTGCCCACGCCCGCAATCCACCCGGCGCCTGTCTCCCGCTAGACTTCCCCTACACGTGACTCGGGGAACGCGCACGGATCACTTCTTGGTGCATTGCGGTCGCTTGTTGACTTTTCTAGCCCGCGGACCCGATGGTTTGCTATATGGAGGGACAGTGCAAACGCAGCCACGCCTGACCTCGTGTTTTGCGCAGGTCGAAACGTGCTTCGACTCGCGAGAGGATGTGTCAGTCTTCGTCCCCACTCTTTCCGCATCTAGTTCGATTGGACCGAGCAGGGCACGGGGCCACAGGTGCAGGGTTCCTCCGCGCCGACGGCTTGGGACGGGGGTGATGTCATCGTGCGATTGGCTCGGGACGAGGAGGCAGAGGAGGTGAGGAGCAAGAGGTAGGGCAGGAAAGGGCGGAGGGATAGGAGGAAGAAGAGGCCGTGGCAGAGCAGACAAGACTGGCAGGGAGAAGGACCGATGCACAAGAAAGGAAGCACTCTTCCCATCTGTGCACTGTCGTGAAGTTGCTGTGCACATCAGTCGAGCACGCACACATGCGCTTGGCTCAGGATGTGTTGGAGGAGTTCGGGAGCTTTCAGCAGCCCTCGGCCATCCGGACTCGGCCACCGTTTTCTGCTGAGCGTGCGCCTCGGCGGCGGCCCCACCGACACGCTATGCCGTGCAAGAGGATAGCGTGCCGCTCCGCTTCGCGGGGCGCAGGGCTTAGGAAAGCTAGGCACGTTGACTCTTTGGGGCGGGGGCGTGGTAAGCCTGTCGCGACGAAGAATGGTGGGCCAGCACCGGCGAACCGACATGCTAAACACACGTGCCTGACCGCACAATCAAAACATGGTCACAAGAACGCGGGTCAAGATCAGCAGCCCCTCCGCAGATGGCTCAGAGCCCCACGGGGAGATCCCAAGCAAAGGCCATTCCAAGGTGGAGAGCCCGACACAAGAAGAGCATATGGATACCCCTCCAAGGCTAGTGTTGGTCTTGGCCCTTGTGCCAGCAGCACCCTGCCTCGACAGGAAGCAACAGAGAGGCAAATGCGCGCGGAGATCAGTGATATCACCATCATCATCATCATCACCATCATCATTACCACCCCACCATCATTATCATCATCATCATCATCATCATCATCACCATCATCATCATCATCATCATCATCATCATCATCATCATCATCATCATCATCATCATCATCATCATCACCAGAAGCAGCAGCATCATACACATCATCACCAGCATCAGCATCAGCACCAGCATCAGCATTAACAGCATCGTCATCGTCATCATCATCATCATCATCATCATCATCATCATCATCATCATCATCAACATCATCATCATCATCATAATCATCATCATCATCAGCAATAACAGCATCCTCTTCCTCCTCCTCATCATCATCAACAACCATCGCTTCAGTCTGTGAGCCTAGAACTCTCGACACCTTCCACGGGGCCTTCTGTTCAGCACGGGGCAATCTTTGATGCCCCCCTATAGGGTCGACGCAGACCTCCAGATGCCGATGTCGAGGAGGCACCGCCGCCAGCAGAACGGCCACAACGTCGGAGGCTGGGGGACTTCCGAACTTTCTGAGAAGGCCCTCTCCCCTGAGATCCGACGCTGCCACACAATTGCAATATTGCAAAAAACACGGCCGGAGCCCCGGACCTCATCTATCCGAGTCATGTTTCGCGCCGGATCGATCTGTGCGGGCCCCTTGGCCCGAACAAAGGCGAAAACAAGCGGCTCGAACAAATGGCGTCGCCAGGATCCCACGGGTCCGCCTCGCCTCCCCCCCTCGCCCGCCGCCGAGAGAGGGGTGCCCCGCTCCCCCTCCTTCCGCCGCCTCTCCTCCAGGTCCTGGCGCTCGCGGGCCTGGGGCGCGGCAGGCTCGCGGCGCGGCGGCCCAGGCATGGGGCTCCCGGCCCCGCGGGGAGATCGCTCCGCCTGGAACGACCGGCCCGTTCCCGACACGTCAGCTCCCTTCACGTTGATCGAGGTCGCCGGCGGCGCTCAGTGGAGGATGAGGAGGAGGAGGAGGAGGAGGAGGAGGAGGAGGAGGAGGAGGAGGAGGAGGAGGGGGAGGAGGATGGAGGAGGAGCGGGAGGAGGAGGAGGAGGAGGAGGAGGAGGAGGAGGAGGAAGAGGAGGCGGCGGGCGGCGGGGTCGCCGCCGGTCGACACGGCGCGAACCTTCTGAAGGGCGGCCGAGGCGGGGCGGAGGCGGGGGCGCCGCAGGGAAGGTGGGCCGGGGCGCCCCTGGACAGCGCAGGCAAGGCGCGCGGCGGGGCGGGCGAGGGCACCCGCGGGGAGGCCGGCGGCACGCACGGCAAGAGTGTTGGACCCAAAGAGGCCTCCTATCGTGGAGCGGGGCATGACACACACGCACACACACACTGACACACACACACGCACATACATACTGACACACACGCACACAGACACACAATCACATTCACAGACACACACACACACGCATACGGACACACACACACACACACACACTGATACACACACTGATACACACAACACACTGACACACACACTGACACACACACACACACTGACACAAAGACACACACACAGACACACACACACACTGACACACGCACACACACATACACACATACACACATGCATCGGACCTGCGAGGCTAATTCAGGGGGGGGCACAGAGGCACCGACATCGCTACTGCCTCGACCTCTCCTGGGGATCGCTTTCTGACAGGAGTGTCGAAGCGAATCCCGCCGTGGCGACAAGGGCCTCCCGCAAGAGTGCGAAAACGAGTGAAGGGCCCAGACCCCCGACGTCATGCATTTCTCACAACGTGGGCCCCAAACGTTTCCTCGGACCCCATCGGGAGGGCCTAGGGCGCAGCCGGTCCTTTCGTAGCTCAGGGGGAACGTTAGGTGAAGATAGGATCGGAAGGCGATAGACTGAGGTCGGGCATGTCCCCTTGCAGGCGGCGTTTGGACGAACAGTTAACATTTTTTTTTTTCCCTCTCAAGGGCTCAACTGCACGGGGCAAGCTCCGTACCACAAGATAGCACATCTACTATGTCGTGCTATGCAACTTTGGGCGTGCCGGCCCATCCGCTATCGATGCGGCCACGGGGCCGGCAGGAAGGCATTCATTGAACACTCCGCTGCCTACCTGAAGCGCTGGTTCTCCTAAGCACTGACAGAAACTAGGGGCAAACATTCAGTGAACACTCCGCTGCCTAACTAAAGCACTGGATCTCCTAAGCACTGGCGAAAACTAATGGCCAACATTCAGTGAATGCTCCATTGCCCAACGCACACAAAAGTTGTATGCCTGATGTGATCCACCACAGCTTCATACGAATTCCCACTTAAAACGCATCAGCTGGGACAAGATCGGAAACTACAGAACTAGCATGGGAGAAAAAAAAGGGGGGAGGCAGAGGGAGGAGGAGGGGGAGGAGCGAGAGAGCGCGGCTCGCGCGTGCGCAGACCGACGAACATTTCGGTCGCCGGCGTTCGCACGGATGCCCCCACGAGCGCGGCCCCAAGAGGGGCGACAAAGGAAGAATCACACGAAGCTGGAAGGTAAACGAGCGGCGGCGGCAGCGGCAGGGACGGACAGAGGGAGGGAAGGGGAAGGGGAGGCCGAGGGGCCGGGCAAGCAAGACAGGCCGAGCCCACTAGGGCTACGGCGGCGGACGGGCACCCACATGCGCGGACGCCACTGTGCGCGCGGCGGGGTGCCCGCGAACCAACTCCAGCGCCGCCTGGCCTAAGGCTGAGGCGGCGGGCGCCGTGATGGAGTCCGCATGCTGCCAGCGGCAATGCAATCTATACACGGCCGCCGTGCGGACCGCCATACGGACGAATATGTTCCGGCCGAACCTCTGCACGGGGTGCGAAAGCAACAAAAACTCAGAGAGTGCGAAGGGGGAAGGAGGCAGGGCGAGGTAACGCCAGGCAAATTCCTGCACAACTGGGCACAGGGAGTAATGCTCTATGGAATCTTCGGCGGGACAGCCAAAGATGCAGGCGCAGCGTTGCTGGAACCGGCGCCCCGTGCACCACCCGTTGAACCAGGTGCGCATCAAGGCAGCCCTGACCCGCGGAGGCAAAGCTGCTCGCAAGAGGTGCAAGATCTCCTGGGCCCGTTGGGGGCGCGCCGCAGCGGGCAAACCGATCTGCCAACGAGCGAGCCTACGGCGCCAGAAGCGCTCACCTGGCTCCGGGCGCGTCCGCTGGAGGATGTCGAGGCTTGTCTTCTGCCACGCCCTGCGGCACCTAGCCGCCTGGGCGGGAGCGTCGTCGTCGGTGCCGCTCCTCAGGATGTGCGCCTTGACCCGGGCCGGCGTCCATCCGAGCTCCCCGAAGTGGTCGAGGGCATTGTCCAAGTGGAGGATGACGGCATCCTGGAACCATCGGTCCCACGAGCCCCGCCTGTACCAGAACTCGCTCTGCGTCATGTCCAGCCGGAGTGCCCTCGCCCTTGATCGCACCTGGAGGCCGCCTTCGTTGGACGCCTCGTATGTCGCCACCCGGAAACGGGCCGCCAGGGACAGTAGCTCAAGATCCGGGAAGCTGCCAGAAAAGCCAATGGATCGGGGGTCCCGAAGGACCGATGCCGATAACCACCCGCGGGGGCCTGGGAACAGCTTGGCGATCGCAGCGCGTTCGTGGACAGGCCAGAACTCGGGCGCCGGGAGCAGTTGAGCCACGAATCCGAGCACTGAGAACAGGTAGACCCGGGTCGCCAACAACGTGAGCTGGAATCCGCAGCCCACCTTGCCCCAAAGCTCGGCCCTCTCGTCGAACTTCGCGAGCGGTTTCTGCCACGAGCGCCCCCCGCTGTCGGGGCCGAGGGTGAAGCCGAGATATTCGGCAGCATAATCGATCTTCATGGCCCCCCAGCGCGGCGCCAGCGCCGCGATTTGGTCCCGCAGCACGGCCAGGTCGGTCTGCCACAGCGGCACCACCACCGTCTTGCCCATGTTCAGCTCCATGCGCGAGATGAGGGCGTACTCGTGGAAAAGGTCCGCCAGCGACGGGATATCGCGTAGGAGCTCCTGCGAAACCAGGGCCAGGTCGTCGGCGAAGGCCCTCGGGGTGGCGTCGGTGACAAGTCGTTGCAAACGACGTAGTAGGAGATCTGCTGCAATTGCGAACAGCAGGGGCGAGAGCGGACAGCCCTGGCGCACCCCAGCCGTCATAGCGAAGCCCTCGAACCGTTGTCCCCCGATGCAAATCTGGCAGAAGTTGCCCCGGTACAGCGCCGCGATGAAGTTGAGCATGGCCGGCGGCACGCCGATCCAACCCAACAGCTCCATGATGAAGGACTGGTCGATCGAGGGGAAGGCGGCCGCGAAGTCGAAGAATATGAAAGCTCCGCCTTCCTGGGCCAGGGCCGTCGCGCGCATCTGAGTGTCGATGTCGACAACGTTGGCTAAAAGTGAGCGCCCTCCCACAAACCCGCGCTGAATCCCCGAAATCCAATCCTTGAATATGGATTCGAGGCGAAAGCGAGCAGCGTTGGCGAGGATCCTGTTGTCAAAGTTGACCACGTTGATTGGTCGAACCTTGTCGGCGTCGTAATAGTGGCCGACCTCGTCGTCGAATCCAGACTCCTTCTTTGGGAGGAGGTGGAGCAAAGAGCTATTGAAGTCCGGCACGTGAAGTTGTTGCAATTCCTCCCCGTCGGGGCCGGCGAGGCGGCGAAAAGCTCCGAATTGCACGTCGACGCCCAACTCGCCCAATTCGCAATAGGCCGCCGCCGGAATGCCGTCGGGCCCCGGGGCCGACGAGCCAGAGCATCGAATGGCCTTCTGGATGTCCTCGCGGCGGATTTGCCACTGCGGCGAGTCCGCCGGTGGCAACGGCGCGAGCACCTCAGGGGTCAGGTCGTCCTGAAACCAGCGTCGTCGCAGCGCCTGGTCGGTCGACTTCTTGGCAAAGACCTGCCTCCAGTGTGCCCGGAAATCTGCGGCCATCTCGTCGGGTCGCGTGTGGAGCGCCCCATGCTTGTCTCGCGTGGCCGAAACAAACTTCCCCTTCCCAGGCGACAGCTTTGACAAGAGTCGAAGGTTCTTCTGGCGGGCGCGATGCTTGAGCTCCTCAGGGAAGTCCGAAGGTGCTTCTTGAAGACGCGTGAGCTCCGCGATCGCGTGCTCGCGAGCAAGCTCGACTGCGTGCTCCCTGACCGGGGCGAGCCGCCTTCCCGTCGCCAGAGACGGGTCGTATGGGTTGGGCACCAAGGTACAGAGGTGCGGATACCGTTCGATCGCCGCCGAGATCGCGTGAGTGGAATGGGACTCCACTGCTCTGATGAACGCCATGGTGCGTCCCAGCTTGTCGTCCGGCGCCTCTGCCAGGCGGCTAGCGCAGGTCGCCTCGAAGGAGATGGATGCGTCACGTATGGCCCGACGTAGGGCTGCGAGTCGTTGCGCCTCGTTCACGTCGGCCATTCCCTCGAGGAGGGAATGAAATCGAAGTGCCACGGCTTGAGACCAGCCTGGACGTCGAACCAACTCTGAAGAAATGGGCCTGGAGGTCGATGGCCTTGGCGGCGGCGCCCGGCGCGAAAGGAACACGGCCCTGTGGTTGGACAGCTGGAAGTTCCAGTCGTCCACCCCAATTGCGACCTGTCGATCAAGCAGATCCGTGGCCTCCATGTTCACGTAGATGCGGTCCAGGCGCGAGCGAGCCTGGGCGGAACTATGCGTCATGCATGGTTGGTGTACTTCGGCGAAGCCCGGCAGGAGGCGCGCCCAGTGCACCTCCTCCTCGTGGTCCCGACGCCCCGTGGCAGCCCCAGTGGTCTTCGAGATTATGTCCCGCTCCTCGGCGACCCAGTTGAAGTCTCCAGTGATGATGGTGAGGGCGTCGTGGGACGGCCGCGTGGATCGCGCTATGGTGGAGCGAAGCTGGCCGCGTTGCTGAACCAGGGGGACAACGTCCAGCACCTCCATCTGATGGGCCCCCGCGTGCTCAGCCACGGGGCCGGCGAAGTCAGCGGAGGTGCCCGTCTGGAAGTACGACGCGAAGATATCCATCGAGCCGCGCGGACCACCCAGTCGGAGTACGGCGGCACGCCCAGGGTGAAGAATGATCCAGTCCCGGATGGGGAAGTGCTGCAAGAAGGAAACGTTGACAACCACTCCGACGCCTCCTCGGCGAGATGTGCCCGGGGCCCACCACGCCATGGTGCCGGGAGGGGCCTGGGCTAGCTGCAAGGACTCGCTCGTGCCGTGGGACTCGGTGATCGTGACGACGTCGTGGTCCCGCAAGAGGTGCAACAACTTCCCCCGCTTCAGGCTGTGGCGGACCGCGTCTTTGGCGAAGAGTGCCTGCGCGTTCCATGTGCAGATGGAAAAATCTCCTCGAAACGGATGCTCCGCCACCTCCGATTGCGGCACCGGCGGGCGAGTCCTCGGTGCGGCAGGCCTGGGACCCTCGACAAATGTCGGTGGAGAGACGCCCAACGCTCGTCGAACGAGAGCTCGTTGAAGAAGAGATGGTGGAACATCATGGTGTTGGCGGAGCTGTAGTGCTTGCCCGTCTGGAAGGGGAGGCAGAAATGGAGGAAGACGATGGGGGACAGCAGCAGCGGCATTCGAATTATCCCCGGCGTGGGCGTTGGCGCAGTAGCTCGTGGGCGCGAGGTCCAGGAGGTAAAACGCGACGTCCACCATGAGGAGCATGCAACCTGAGTCGTCGATTGCCCAGGCAATAGCCCCAGCAGGGGCTAGTCACCGAGCGGCGTCTGTGCCCCCGACCTGGTCCTGCAAATCGTTGTGCACGTGAATTCTGAAAGTGTCCATTCCCACCCGGATGCTCTTGTCGTGGAGCGCGTTGCGGACCCTCTGGACCTCCGAGAGGTCTTTCAAGAAGAGTCTTGCGCGGCCTGGTGGTGCAGAGGGGTCCGAGGCCGACAACCACTTCCATGAGCTCATCTTGGGGCCCCCGGCGGTGGACTGTTCCGTGAGGTGGAGGCCCGTCTGCACGGTCAGATGCTGCATGAGGGACTGCACCAGCGCATGCTCGTCCGCATGGAGGTGCCCTTTGATCTCGACGTCCGTGATGGCTTGGAGGGTCGTCGAGCCTCCCCTCGTCTGCTTGGCACGGCGCGTGGCCGCCAGCCTTGCTGGGAGGGCTGACGGGGTGGCGAAGTGCCGACCTCCATGGCGGGAGGGGCGATGCCTGAGCTTGAGGATCGCGGAGTCCGTGTCGTTCCGCAGCATAGCGTCCATCGTGGTCTGCCAGGTCTCGGGGGCGGACTCCGTGGTGAGGAGGACAGTGGACTTGGTGAGGAAAATAGCCCCCGAACACATGTTCCAGAACGTGTTGATGGCGTCCGCATGGCCCACCTCGGCTAAGAGGGAGCCCGCGTCCGTGAACAGGTCCACGGAGGCAAAGCAAACGCCGACCGGGAGACGCCCTCGAATGCGGCGCATCAGCAGCTCCCTGGTGAGGGAGGACGTGTGGTTGGCGAAGCGAATCTCGACTCGGCCCCGGGGCGTCTCCGTCGTGTGGCCGGGGCTGCGGTATATGCGTCCGACGGCCGCAGATGAATCCAGGCCGCCGTGCAGGAGGTGCATGACCTCCGGGCCGACGGCAGAGGGGAAGTCCATGAAGTATGTCGGAAGCGCAGCCGTCGACAAGATTGGCACCTCCAGGTCACGTACGCGAGGCGCCTGGCGGAGTAGCGAAGAGGATATCGTGAAGATCGCCAGGCCGCGTAGCTCGTGGCGGGGACCCGCAGGGCCAGGGGAGATGAACTCGAGCGGTTGCGGGTGGAATTCGACGTTGCGGGTCATGCCTGGCCACTTGTCGCCCAGGAGCTCGTGCCACCAAAGATCGCAGATGGACTCGACACTGGTGCAACCCGGGTGCAAATCCATCGGGACAAGGAACCGGATGTAGGCGCAGGGGACCTCGTTGGCGCCCCGGCGCAACAGTGAAGCCATCAATCGACCCAGCGCTGACGCAGTGGAGGGAGCCCAAATCGAGACTGGTTTGCCCGTGGCCTTGATCGTGTCCCAGAAGGTGGGGTCCCCCTTCTCCGCGAGATCGGCCAGCAGGCGGGCCACTCCCACCGTCGCCACTCGAGTGCCGTAGCGGGGGGTCGTCGATCCTCCCGTGGCGTCCAGGAGGTTCGACCACTGGGTGCACACCACCTCCGTTCCCAACGGGGCGGTGTCGAATACGACGTTCAAAGCGCGGCTACCCAGCTCCTTCCAGAGGGGGAGTTTGGAGGGGCGTGCGCGTTTCCTCTCCCGGACCCACGCGTCGAAGGAGTCGAAGCAGGCGTCGGCCGCGCGGGAGATCTTCTGCACGGACGTGCGGGCGTCGGATTTGTCCTGCTCGGGCCAGCTCGCGCCGTCGATCACGGAGGCCAGCAGCTTGGCGAAGCGGAGGCGCGTCTCGATGGTGTTCAGGGAGATGTCAGGTCCCTCCAAAGGTGCCAGTCCAAGAATGCTCCAGGGTTCGGCAGCGTCGGGGACGTATGCGAGCGCCTTCAGGACCTGGTCGAACTCAATCTTGGTGTCCAGGGAGCGTGGGATGATGGTGTGGCCATTGATCGTGTGCGCCGCCTGGATGAGCTCGAAGTGCGCGAGCATCTGATGCTCGATCATCGCCGCAAAAGCGGAGGGCGTCTCCGTGACGGCAGGTGCCATCTGCAGCGCCGCCATTCCCTGCGTGGCGCCAGAGTGCTCGGCATGCGCGGCGTTCATCGCGTCGTCTTCCTCCTCGGCCGGCGTATCCAGGGCCGGCGTAGCTAGCCCCGGAGCAGGTGCGTACAGGTGGGCCTCGCAGAGGAAGCCACCCGGCATGGCAAGCCCCTCGACGCCACGGGCCGCGCAAACGCGGCAGCGTCCCGCCATGGAAGGGGATAGGAGGTAGGAAGCGGAAAAGCGAATGGTGAGGAAAAGTAGGATAAGACGGTGCCCCCACCCTTGGCAGCAATGTCCTGAGCACTTGAGCCAGCTTTGCTTGAGCCAGGACGAACAGTTAACAATAGTCAAACACTGCCCCTGAAACATGCAAACATAGTCAACAAGATCGTCTCCAGACTATTTCTGACATTTTAAAAAAATTCCTCCTGTAGAGGTACAAGCCCGACTTCACGATGGACCCCCGATGGCAGATGCACGCGCTCCCGTGAACCAAAAGGGGCTTGAACGTAGCGCGCGCTCTCGGGATATCCCTGGAAGCGCGCCTGCTCCAACGGCTGCTCTGTATCCTCCCAGCTTCCGTCTCGTCAAAGGGCGCTCGTCGTGTGCTTGTGCGTGCCGGGGCGCCTCGCGGCCCCGGGCGCAGGCAGTGCACAGGGCCTCTTCCACGCAGGCAGCCAAGAGAGTGTCTCTGACGCTATCCGTTGTCTTGTCGGGCGGGGGGGACTGTCAGGCTGCAGGGGAGGGCCATCCTACCCCGACTACTCTTGAGCAGGGACCGACGTCCCGGCATGCCTATAGGCCTACCACGACATGTTCCCAGAATCTAAGAGTGTTCCAAGAACGAACGCACTGCTCTGAGAGCATAAACCCGATGTGTTAAACCAAGACGGCCCCAGCCCGAAATGTTCTGAGACCAGTTCGCTGAAGCCACAAAAGGTTCTCAGACCATTCTTTGGCAGGCCCATCGGCGGGCCAGGGCGCTTCGCCACTGCTTGGCACTCCGACCGTGCCCAGTAAAGATCTGGGCCCGAACGCGAGCGGCCGACCGTCGCCGAGCAGACCCTCGGAGTGGGGCATGCCCCCCGGGCGCCGCTCAGAAGCCGCGCAGAGGCCTCCTCGCTCCGCCTGCTACACCCCCCCGCCCCCTCCTCGATCCTCGATCCTTGATCCTCGACCCCTCCTCGACCTCTCCCTCCTCCTCTTCGAGATCCCCCTTTTCAGGCTTTCGGCCTGGGCGATGCCGAAGCCCGCTCCCTCAGCGCAGAGCTGCGGCAGAAGGATGCCGAAGAGATCGATCCTGCAGAAGAGGACGATCCATTTTCCTAGGGGGGGTGGTCTAGTCGCTGGCCCGCGGGTGGCCCGTCAAGGCCCCCCGCGGTGACGAACAGGTCCTCTCCGATGGGCCCCCCCCAGGGCTTGTCAGATTGGCCCTCTCCCTCTCTCTCTCTCTCTTCCCCTCAGCGGCGTGCAGTCCTCGATCCCCCCTCTTCGATCCTCGATCCCTCCTCGTGATCCTGCATCCCCCCTCCTCGATCCTCGACCTCTCCTCGATCCTCGACCCCTCCTCGTGATCCTGCATCCCTCCCTCCTCGATACTCGACCCCGCCTCCTCCCTCCTCGACCCCCCTCGTGATCCTGCATCCCCCCTCATCGATCCTCGGATCATCCCCCCTTCTGCACGGTTTCCACCGGGGCCGTAGGCGCGACCCGAGGAGAAGGAGGAGGAGGAGGAGGAGGAGGAGGAGGAGGAGGAGGAGGAGGAGGAGGAGGAGGACGGGTGGCCTAAGCCCTTCGGAGAAATCCTCCACCCCCTTCCTCCTCGACCCCCCCTCGGAGAGGGGCCTCCGCCCAGCGCCGCTCGAGGCCGCGGTAGGCCTCCTCGCTCCGCCGGCAGGCCTCGGCCCGGCGGGCGGAGCGCACCTGGAAGCCGTCGAGCCCGGCCCTCCAGGAGCCGTACTCCTCCGCGAGGAGGACGAGGGCGGGAAAGAGGAGGAGGAGGAGGAGGAGGAGAAGGAGGAGGAGGAGAAGGAGGAGAAGGAGGATGAGGAAGAGGGTGGGAGGAGGAGGAGGAGGAGGAGGAGGAGGAGGAGGAGGCGGAGGCGGAGGAGCAGGAGGAGGAGCAGGAGGAGGGGGAGTTTAAACCCGCGTGCACACGCCCGTGAGTGGGTGCCCCTGGTCTCGGCACCCCGCGCAGGCCGAACGGCCCGAGGCGGGGTGGGCCAGCGGCCTCAGCTCACGGCGTCGTACTCCCGCCTGGGCGACTGTTCGCCCGGGAGCCCACGGCGCGCTCGCGCCGGCACGACGACACGACACGACGGGGGGACGGGGACGCGACACGACCGAAGGCGCACGACACGACACGAAACGCACGACAACGACGGGACGAGCCGCCGGTCCCGCCCCAGGGCGGCGAGTGCAAGGTGGGAATCCTGCACCGCCCTGGGGGAGGCCACGGGACCTGGCGACCCCCCTGGGGAAGAAAGGCCGCGCTTATGGCGGCCGTCCCCAGGTGCGGGGGCTTGTGCCCTGAAGGCCTGGTGCTCCCCGCCTGCACCAGGGGGCACACAGGCCCGACCCCCACTCTTGGGGGGCCCCTCCAGGGCAGCAGGAGGAGGAGGAGGAGGAGGAGGAGGAGGAGGAGGAGGAGGCGGAGGAGGGGGAGGAGAGGGAGGAGGAGGACGAGGAGGAGGAGGAGGAGCCCGGCCCTCCAAGAGCCGTACTTCTCCGCGAGGGGTGGAGGTGGGGCAGGGGGGAGATGGATCGGGGAGACGTAAGACTCGGGTACGGGGGACTCTGGTTGGCCTGAAGGTTGAGCAGGGACCGGCCGTCCCGGCATTCCTACAGACTTACCACGACATGTTCTCAGAACCCCCAAATGTTCTCAGGTAAAAGCAATGTTCTTAGAACATGGACCCGATGTGTTCAAACAAGACAGACTCCGCCAGAAATGTTCTAAGAAGATTTCGTGGGAACGTCACAAGGTTCTTAGAACATTGTTTGGTAGGGCTATCGGCGAGCCAGGACGCTTCGCCACTGCTTGAGAAGGGGGGCCATCCTAAAAATGACGAGACCCAACTTGAAATTTGACGCGGGCTCCCGCTGCAGACATCCCATGAAAACTGGCCTGTCAAACTCCAGGGCGCGCTCTTCAAAGAACTTCGGCAAACCCGAGCTCTGGCTCACTCGAGTCTTACGTTTCCCCGAATGGAGGGGTCGAGAATCAAGGAGGGTCAGGGTGCAACTACTGGGAGGCCTTCGTCGGATGGAAGGGGGGAGGAGGATTTGACGGGCTTCTCCGCCAGATTGGGCCGCGGACTCCGCGGGATTAGGCCGCATTCAGCGGGATTTAGCCGGATTGAGCGGGAGTAAGCCGGATTTCGGACCAGGGCAAAGTCAGAATCTGACCTGCAGGAGTTGCATCCGAAAGGAGAGCTCCAGGAGGAAGAGGAGGGATCGAGGATAGAGGGGGGGAGGTCAAGGCGTCGAGCGCCGAGGAGGCGGCGGAGAGATCAGGGAGGAGAGGAGGGATCGCAGATCGCGGAGCCGAGGAGAAGGAGGGATCGAGGGTAAAGGCCAGGTGCTCCTGCCGCTGGTCCTCCTGGGAGGGGCGGGAGGGGGGCTGGCGGCGCGCACAACAGGGGTGGAGGGAGGGGGAAGGCTTCTTGGAAGGAGGCTGCTTCTTAGAAGGCGCCGGCCTTACATCTATAGGTAAGGCCCGCGCCTTCTAAGAAGCAGGGGTGCTTTCGGGGATGGACAGACGCCCCTTTCGTAAAACGTGGTTTAGTGACAACGACCTGAGGCCCAAACCTGGTGGGCGCAAGCCTGGAAAATAACGGCCACGGCGCCCTCTCGAGGACCGAAAACGGACAATTCACTAATCGACGTGTCACTGTTGGGGGTTCTGTCCACCCCCGATTCTAAGAAGCAGGGGTGCTTCTAAAGGAAGGGATAACTCGTTCCAGGGCGCTCTCTGGGAGTGTCTCGGGAGGGGTGGAGACCGTCGGGCCCCGCCTTCCAGGGGCCGTGTTCCTCCGTGGCGGAGGGGGGGGGACAGACTCCGTCGCCCCACCTTGGGGTCGGGCATGTTCTCCTACAGGCGGATTTGGAAACAAAAATGTAAAACACAAATGCTCAAACATACCCCTAAAATCGTCAGAGCATCGTCCCCCCACACTATTTTTGGATAAGTGTTGAATCTTCCTCCAGTAGAGGGACGTGCCCGACTTACCCTCATCTTGAGATCCTTCGGGCGTCTATCTTTTCGAGGCGGGCGCTTTCGCCCGCTCAGCTTCGGGCCCTGGGACCCTCGCAGGTCGAGCCAGCTTGAAACACGGCGCAGAAAGATGGGGTCCAGGCCTCCTGTCGTGACAGCGAGAGAATACCATCATCATCGTCATCGTCATCATCATCATCAGCATCATCATCATCATCATCATCATCAGCAGCAGCAGCATCATCATAATCATCATCGCCTTCATCATCAGCACCAGCATCAGTTTCATCATCACCACCATCGTCGCCATCATCACCACCACCATCACCATCATCAGCATCGTCATCATCATCAGCATCATCACCACCATCAATATCATCATGATAATCAGAATCGTCATCAACATCACCATCACCATCACCATCATCATCATCATCATCATCATCATCATCATCATCAACATCGTCATCAACATCATACTCATCACCACTACAACTACCATCACCATCACAACACACCGTCATCATACTACTCACAATCACCATCACCATCACTATCAGCATCATCACCACCATCATCATCACCACCATCATCATCATCAGCATCAGCATCATCATCAGCATCAGCATCATCATCATCATCATCATCATCATCATCGTCATCAACATCATCACCATCATCGTCAACATCACCATAATCATCATCACATTCAAATGCATCTTCAGCTTCAGCTTCACCTCCATATGCATCTTTGTATTCATCGTACATCCTGGGTCGCCCGAGAGGGGCCTCGCGCCGCCAGACACCCCCCATCGCGATTCCCAGGGTTCCTGTCCTTCGTCGTTCTCGTCGTCCGTCCCTTCCTCCCTCTTCGCCTGCCTCCTCCTCCTCCTACTCCTCCTCCTCCTCCTCCTCCTCCTCCTTGGTCGGGCTCCCTGGCCAGGGGGAGGAGGAGGAGGAGGAGGAGGGAGGAGGGAAGAGGGAGGAGGGAAGAGAGAGGAGGGAGGAGAAGGGAGAGAGGAGGGAGGAGGGAGGGAGGGAGGGAAGGAGGGAGGGAGGGAGGGAGGGAGGTAGGAGGAGGAGGAGGAGGAGGAGGAGGAGGAGGAGGAGACCTGGCCGCAAGGGAAGGGGCTCGGACCTCCAAGAGACACGTTGTGAACAGATCCGGGCCTCGGAGTCCTGGCGAACTCCAGGTTCGAATCTCAAGCTTCCTGGGCAGATGCCTTGTGGGCCTCTTGGGGGCTTCTTGCTGTCATAGCCAGATTCGCCTGACTTTCTGCTCAGAAAGACCTCCAGGACAGGCCTGGGGACATTTTTGCTACACCCCCTCTACCTCCTCCTCCTGCTCCTCCTCCCACTCGTCCTCCCTCCCTCCCTCCCTCCCTCCCTCCCTCTCCATCTCTCTTTCCCTCCCTCGCGGCATGGTGCCGCGGCGAGCTGCCGCCGTCGTCTGGCCACGCTCGTGCTTCTCGGCGTCGCCTTCTTCGTCGTCCGTCCGCTCGGCCCTCGTCGGCGCCGTGGCCGCCGCCGCCGCCGAGGGCGGAGTCCGGCACCAGCACCTCGGGGAGCTCGCCCGCCGCCGCCGCCATCCGCGGCCGCGGCGCCCTCCCCCCCCCCCCGGCGGGCGGGGGCGGCGGCGCGCGCCGCCTCGCGTGCGCCGCGGCCGTCGCGCTCCGCCGCCGCCGCCGCCGCCGCCGCCGCGGCCGCCGCCCTCGTCGCCGCCGCGGCGCGTCGCTCCCTGGCTCGCCCTGCCCCCCGCCGCGGGGCGGAGGGGCAACACGGCACGGGACTGGTCCGTTCCAGACATCTGGCATTGAGCGGGAAGCCTAGCTGAGTGAGCGCACGCATGACATCGTGGGTGATAGCATTGTTAGGGCCAACCGTCAGCTTTTGCAAACACGCGGGAGGGGCCCGTGGAAGGAGCCCGCACGCGCCGAAGGACTCCGGGGACGTGCGGGCGCTCGGTGGGCGCGGCGCAGCCGCGCGCAGAGGCGAGGGCGGCGGCCTCCTGGCCGCGGGGGCTTTCGGGGACCTTCTGCCCCGGGTCAATCCAGACCCGGGTCAGTGAAGGCTGCAAGATCCTCCTCCTCCTCCTCCTTCTTCTCCTTCTCCTTCCCCCCCTCGCTCGCGCTTGACTGTCAAGCCCTGCAGAAGCCTGCAAGAGCCTGCAAGATCCTGCGCCCAAACCGGGGCCAATGCGAAGGATCCGGCAAGGTCCTGCCAGGTCCTGTGCCCAAGCCCGGGTCCCTGCGCCCCTGGCCCTGCAGGATCCTGCAAGATCGGGCGCTCTGGCTGACCCCCGTTTGCATTGACCCCCGTCTCAAGGCTCCCGAGGCTTCGCGGAGCTGACCCACTACCGGGGCAGGCAACAGTCGGCGCTGGCACCGGCCCTGGAGGAGGCCCTGGTGACGGTGGACGGCAAGGGGGCCAGGAGAGCTCAGCGCAAGGGCTTCGAGCTCGGCCAGGGCTCCAAGGAGGTGAATGTCGAGAGCGCCATGGAGGCGACGTCGAGGTGCGTCCGCGACCTCCAACAGCAGTTGGAGGCCGCCGAGGAAGAGCTGGCCAAGATCAGGCGGGCGGCGTCGTTCCAGCAAAATGTGTGCTGCAGGTGGCCAAGGGGTCGGAAGTCAGCAGGGGGATGCACGAGCTCCTGGGGGAGGGGGCGTGCGAACTCGCCGCGGCCGAAACGACGTCCCCCCTGGGGTGAACGGGCATGGCTGCGCTGCTCCCGGCCCTCTCGCCCGAC